ACATAGTCATTACGCTAACTGCTGGTTCCCAATGTTCCTTTTCTTAAACCTGCTCTTGTTCTGCTGGTGCCGTGTGTCCTCTGTGCTCTCCCTCTCCAATCCTTAGTGTACCTGTCACCACCAGTCTCTGCCTTCCTGGGCTCCGTGTTCCTTGGAGCCTGGGATCAGGGCCCACCTCTCAGGAGGGAACTGTACCTGCCTACGGGCAGTTCCACTGCTTCCCTCACTCAGGGAGCTTTCACGGGGTGCAGGTTCCAGCACCAGGAGGAAGCCGTTAAACCCACGGAAGGCCAGGCAGTGGGCGGTCGGCACTGCCCAGTCACTACAGCCCAAGGCACCCTCAGCAATGTGGCCCAGGCTCTGCCCCAGGCCCCTGTCCTGCTGTCACTCAGCTGACAACCACTCTTGTGCAGAGACCCATCACTTCTGCCTCTAAAACGGCTGTCCTCCACTTCAGAGTCTGCCTGGGACGGGGACGCCGGCTGTGAAATGTGGCTTTGTTTTCTATCGTGAGCCTGGGCCATGCAGGCACGGAGCCTGAATGATGGCTGACCGTGGGGAACGGTTTCTGTGTTAGACGTTTTCATGTCGATTGTGCCCAGAAGGCAAATGACAGAGCAAAGCTTCTACAGAGCCAGATAAGAAATGAGGAAGAAGCTGGCCAAGGAGGTGGAGGGCAGAAGGGTACAGCACCACAGAGCAGGCAGGTTAAGTTCTGGGACAAGTGCAGACGCTCACCTCTACTGGGACTTAGGCCAAGTTCTGTCTAGAGGGTAGCATATAAAATCTAAATGGTGGGGCTGGCAGGTGGCATGGTGGTTAGGGGCGCTGGATTCCCACATGGCTGACTACGGTTCGAGTACTGGACCTGGCGGCTTGCTTTCTCACTTTCTCTTTGTCTCTTACTCTGTCCCTCTCTGGTCAAATTTAGACAAATAAATAAATTAATAAACGAATGAATGAATGAATAAATAAATAAATGAAAAATAAAGCTAAATAAAACATTCTTTAAATTTTTTAAAAATCTCAATGGTAAAAACCTCTGAGTGCCGCTGCACAAGCCACAGGACTAGTCAAGAACACACAGGAAGGGGAGGACAAGCGCCGTCCGGACCCTCACACCAGCAGTGGGCATGTCCCTTTAAGGCAGGCCCTGAATGTCCTGGGTCAGTGCAAACTGACCACTGGAGCCATGGAGGGCGCACAGCACCATAGGCATCAGCCTGTGGCCCCTGGCAAGTCACGGCACCTCTGAAAGCCTCAGTGTCCTCCCCAGCAGTGAAGTGACACCCTGCCTAGCTGCAGCAGTGTGGCCTGAACACGGGTTCACAAGGGTTCACGACACAAAGCCTGGGTGCCACTCGACAGCAGTACTGGCACACTTCCACATCCTGAGGGGGAAGCGACCTAACCCTGAAGCCCGCCTGGATAAGCCTCGTCGCGTGTGCAGGGAAAAGAGACGCTGCTCTCGAACCGTTTCCCACACGCCCCCTCCTGCAGGAGCCATGGACGCTCCCTGCTCCCAAATCAAACAGGAGCCGGGGGAAAGGAAGACAAACGGCCCACAATGAGGGCACCCCTTCCCAGAGGTGCGTGGGACTCCACCTGCAAAGGAAGCTCACGGCGAGCCCGTGGCCTGGTGGTCAGGATAGCTAGGTCCCACAGGACCAACTGCACGATTCAAACCCTGGCCTCAGTGGCTTGAGACTCACGGAGGTGCACGTGCATGCACGCCCCCGGGTCCGACAGAGTGGAGGAGGGGCTGCAGTGTGACCGTGCCCGAGGGGGGTGCTTTCTCCCTCTCTTTCTGTGTCTCTTTCTCTCTTATGAGCATGACCCCTGGCAAATTAAAAGAAATTAAAAAAAAAAAAAGAACATAACAGAACAGCAATCTCAGGATTAGTTACGACAACCGAAGCAGAGAGGAATGAGAGAGACGGGCGCCACGGCTCCAACACAAGTTTGGAAAGGCTACCTGGTGTGCCACGTCTGAGGGTGCGGGGTTTGGAAACGTGGCCGTAACATCTGGGGATAATTACAGAGGGAGAGCTGATGTGAAATCGGGGAGCTGGTAACTCCTGAGAACAAGGACGGACGTGAGCACCGCTAACTATGGTCCGCCACGAGGCTCGGCCTGAGTAGCTGTGAGTACTGCTGACCTAGCTGTGCCGTGACGGACGCTGAGCAGTGACTTACTCCCCCAGCGAGACCGTGCACCAGAGGGAGGAGTCGAGAATGTGTGTGGGAGACAGGTGTGAGCCAAGAGGTGAGACAGACAGTAACTAAGTGGAAGAGGGAAATCTCCGCCTCAATACATGTCATCTAAGACAAAGAGAAATTAGCAACATGGATTATTATTTAGAAATATGGAGATAAAGAGTAGGAAAACATCTAAAAAACTTACAGTAATTCCTTGAGCCAGTGAAATCAGAGTGGGCAAGACTAAAGATTATTTTTGTTATAAGCCCTGTAGAATTATCTTTTTTTTTCTTTCTAGTTTTTGCTAGAGGGTGTATGTACTCACTGGAAAGAGACAGAGCGAGGGTTAAATGAGAAAGCACGTCCACTCCTTGGGGGGATGGTCATGCCACAATCCCTCCTCCTCCACTGTCCTCTTAGGAATTTGGGGGCACACATGTATACCTCACCGCCATGTTTTTAAAGCCACCAGCACAGCATTCAAACCACACGGTCAGCCTTCTGGAATCCAGTCCCTCTAGCCACCAGGCTAACCAGTCTGACCCAAGAATTATTTGACTTTTAATAATTTTTTTAAAGAGCTGTTTAATTTAATTTTTGTTTCTAGTTTGACTAGAAAGAGACAGAGAGGAAGAGAAAGGGAAAGCGAGAAAGCAAGCCGCCAGGCCGGGGACCTGGTCCAGGGTCAGCCATGCAGGCAGGGGTCCAGCGTCTCAAATGCCATGCCACAGGCCAGCCCTCAATTATTTGATTTTTTTTCCTTATAGAGTTACTTTACTGGGGAGTCAGTAGGTAGCATGGCAACTGGGGACACTAAACTTCCACATGGTCAACCACAGTTCGAGTCCCAGGCCTGACGGCTCACTTAATCACTTTCTCTCTTTCTCTCAATCACTCTGTCCCTCTCTGATTAAATTAAAATAATTAAATAATTTTTAAAAAAACGAATTGTTTTACTGGGACCAGCAAATGGCGTAATGGTTCCGTTGCTGGACTCCCCCAGAGTTGACCGCAGTGCGAGTCCTGGACCTGACAGCTTGAAACTCACTCAGGGTGCATGTGTGTGTGAGAGGAGAAGGGAGAAGGGACTGTGGCGTGGCCATTCACCCTGGGAGGTGATTTCACACTTTGTTCCTCTGTCTCCCCAGAGAGCACACGTGCCCTATAGCAAAAATCTCTCAAAAAAATTATTATTTTATTTAAGGACCAGCAGACGGTGTAATGGTTACATCACTGGACTATCACGCGGTCAACCATGGTTCAAGTCCTGGATCCAGGGGCTTAAACTACACTGGGCGTGTGTGTGTGTGTGTGTGTGTGTGTGTGTGTGTGTGTCCAAAATCCCAAGAGGAAAGCAAAAGAGAAGGGATTGCAGTGTGGCCACTACCCCCACCCCACAGGGGCTGATTTCTTACTTTCTGACGCTGGCGAGTACATGTGCCCTATAGCAAAAACCTCTCTTAAAAAAATTATTGAATTATGTTTATTGTTATTCTAATTATTTTAATTTGACCAGAGAGAAAGACAGAAAGCAAGCAAGCAAGCCACCAAGGCCGGGACTCGAACCACAGTCAGCCATATAGGAGTCAAGTGCCGGCCAAGGGCACAGCAGTTAGGTCGACAGACTCCCACATGGCCGACTGTGGTTCAGGTCCCAGACCTGGTGGTTTGAAAACTCAGGCCCAGGCACAAGTGGGTGCGTGCCTAAGATCCTAAGAGGAGTGTGGAGAAGGAGGAGATGTACAGTCATCCTTCCTGAGGGCTGATTTTTTACTTTCCCTCTTGCTGTCTCTGTCTCTCTCCCCGATGAGCACATGTACCCTAAGGCAAAAACTTCTTAGAAACAAACACACAAAACAATCAGCAGGCCACCCAGCAGCTGAGAGGGTAAGAGCTCTATCTCACGAGGCTCACCACGTGGTTCGGGTCCTGAGCTGGTGGCTTGAAAAATGCGCTGGGCAGGTGTATGAGCGTGCCCAATACTGAGAGGAAGAGATGAGAAGGGACTGTGGAGTCAGCACGCCTCACGGGGCAGTGCTTTCTCACTCCTCCCTGACCGGTGTATGCACCCTCTAGCAAATTAAAAAACAAAACAAAACACAAAATTATTTTGATTTAAAAAAAAGGAAAACTAGTTTAAAAAAATCCAAAACCAAAAACCTCACAGAACTGAACGTTCAAGTCCTAGAAGGCAGAGCTGCGGACAGATGTGCTGGAGAGTCACCACAGGATCTGCCCTCCCAGCAGAGGAGCGACAGGACAGAGTGGGGACAGGGAGAGCGGGGCTGCCCGACATCGTCCCGGGTGGTCCAGATACAGCCTTACGGGGCTGCCCAACATTGTCCCGGGTGGTCCAGATACAGCCTTACGTTGCTGCAACTGACGTTTCCCTCCCTCAAGCCTTTGCCAGTGTTTTGGGGGGACTGAGACGGTGGGTGCTTGGGGGTTAGCGTGACACTGAGAGCACAGCGAGCTGAGCAGCAGACGGGGACGCAGAGGGGGACGCAGACGGGGGCGCAGAGGGGTCCGGGTCTGCCGTGCCAAGAGAGGGCGGGCGCCCTGGGGAGGGGTTCACGGAGAAGGGTGAGTGGGTGTCACATACACATCAAGACAGGTGCCTCCAGCCGACTGGCCTTAGGCCATCACAACGGTAGCCACAGAAGGCAGAGATGAGAGGGCCGGGGACTCACTCCCGGTGAGACCGCAGGACAGCCTAGCACCAGGCCTGTGGCTCAGGCAACTTGGAAGGAAGGTCTGAGGCGTGAAGCAGGGTCCCCGCGCCTGGGCAGGAGGGGGCGTACCTGTGCACGTAGTGAAGCTGATGGATGGAGTCGATGGCCAACACCATCTCGCCGATGTAGAACCGCGCCATGTCTTCGGGAAGCTTGTCTTCGAATTTGCTCAGCAGGGTCAGTAAGTCGCCACCCACATAGTAATCCATGACCAAGTACTGCCCGTTGGAAAGAAAGGGGGGAGAATGTAAGCACACCGTGCCAGCAGACGCCACCTTCCCTGCAGGCCAGCGGCTTCAGGGCTGCCTGTCACCCGGCCTGCCCTCTGACACGCCCTAACTGGGCTGCAGGCATCCACTGCGCGTGTGGCCGGGAGCAATGAATTCAGCCGTCAATAAATACTTGTAATCAATCAAAGGGATTAAGGTTTGAGAACATACTCTTTAGGAGCTACTGACCCCCAGGAGAAGCACAGGTCCTA